GGTTAGGTTGTCCTATGTTATATGCATTGGCAACCATTTTAGATCCTAGGTGCGGAGTAGATGGAACTGAATCATTGATGACTGCTACCGCAGAGAATTTAAAAATAGATATGCAACTAAGTATTACTGACGCTAAGAAAATATTAGAAAAAGTTTTTAGTTTGTATGAAGCAAAATATAGCACGAGTAAAAAAGAACAGGGAACTTCGTCGTCAACTACCGATTCGGGGCCTAAAGGATCGTCGTGGAGTTTCTTGAAGAAGAAAGAGAAAACGGCAGGATCGTCCTCAACACAAGCGTCAACGGAACTAGTCAAATATTTTGAAGTAAATTTTGTAATCGATGACGACAAACTAGACATCTTACAGTGGTGGAAGAGCAAGACAGATCGTTTTCCAACACTGTCCATAATAGCTCGTGACATTCTGACAACTCTAGTGTCAACGGTAGGACCGGGGCAAGCTTTTAGCGCAAGCAACCGAATTCTTGACGAGAAGAGAAGCAGAATGCATCCAAATATCTTAGAGGGACTAATGTGCGTTAAAGACTGGGAAGATGCCAGAAGACGAAAACAACAATACACAGATGATTCGATGCAAGAATATTTTTCTAACTTAGAAATAACAGAATCTTCTGGAAGCACTTAGGTTTGTAATTTACTATTCCTAGCTACTGCACTCTTTTTTCCTTCGCTAAGGTTTTGTCCCGATCTCCCCACGGGTTTTACTTAACAAGGTTTTTAACGAGGCAGTCATTTATATGTACTCCTATTACGTCAATTTAATAAAATCACATCTTTTAGGGCATTTAATATTTTTTTAATTAAATTAAAAAAAAAACAAGGGCCGGGGCCGGCCTGTGAAGGGCTTGGGCCCAGGCCCTGCCCTGGCCCTTATGGACTAGGCCAGGGCCCTTATGGACTAGGGCCAGGGCCTGAGTTTTTCTTCTCAGGCCCGGCCCTGCACTGTGTAAGGCCGTGCCTGGCACGGCCCAGGCCCGTGATGGGCCTGGGATCAAGCGTGCTGTACCGGCCCGACACGGCACATTTGACAACACGAAGCTTAAGGTCGTATAGACGAAGAAAACATATTATTAGAAGATAAAAACTAAAAAAATATTACTATTAAAAACGCACGCTGCCTATAAACATGATTGTTATGTTTTTGTTTAGAGGCAGTAGACAAAGCGATAAACAAATATAGATATATACAAAAGAGAAATAAAAAACTAAAAAGAAATAGATATTTATTTTAACAGGTTTTGATTTTTTATAATATTTTTTTCTCAAACCAAACATTTTAAAAATTAAAATTATAAATTATAATTTTGAATAAACGTCACTAATTATACGCTCAGATTTAGTAGCATCATCGATTTTAACTTTTTATTAATTTCATCGATTTAAATTTTATTATAATAAAATTTTTTAAAAATAATTATATTTAATTTTTTTATTATAATAAAAAGTTATCTCAATTTAAATTAAAAATCTCAATCAACCACTATTTAACCAGATAAATACTGCCGTACGCTTTGTTACAGTACAAGTGTACAACCTTGTTATATATGTCACAAGCTCTGATATCCATCTATCTATCGAGCTATCTCCATTGTAAAGGAAGAAAAGATCAAAGAGAAAAATGCTTCTTAGAAGCTCCTCAGCGCCAATCTTGAACTCTTGGCTACTCCACTCCAAAGACTACTCTTCTTCTTCACCGGAACCAGATCAGCCACTTCTTCACCTTCAAAGAACCAAATCAGTTTCTTTAACATGTTCTTCTTTTCACTCTTCTTCTTTTTCCTCTTCTTGTTCTTCTTCTTCTTCACCTAGTAAAGATGATCCGTCAAAGAGACCGTCCAATGCCCCGGCAATATTATCAAAAACCGATGGCCCACCAAAGCCCAGGAAGAGCGACAGAAGAAAACGACCCGCAAACAAGAAAGAAGAAGAGAAAGAGAAGGACGAGACGGTAAAGATCACGAATTCGGGATCGTCTTCTCCTGTTGAGAGGCTGTTTTGGAGCTCTGGATTGGGAGATATTGATCATAAAAGGTGTGGTCTGCAGACTCTGGTGGTGGACGACGGAGCTGGAAGCGGCGGCGGCGGCGGCGGCGGCGGCGGCGGAGGAGGAGGGAGAGGATCGGACGGTGGAGATGGCGGTGATGGTGGGGCAGGTGGGTCCGGGTTCTTTGAGGGTAACAATCATGGGAGTGGTAGTACTGATGCTTATTATCAGAAGATGATTGAAGCCAACCCCGGAAATCCCCTCTTGCTTGGAAACTATGCTAAGTTTTTGAAAGAGGTTTCTTTTCCTTTTTTTTTTTTTTTTTGAATTTACTGTTTAATGTTGGAATTTATGCTAATTAGTAATATATATATAAACAGGTTCGAGGAGATTATGCTAAAGCGGAGGAGTATTGTGGGAGAGCAATCTTAGCTAATCCAAATGATGGGCAAGTTTTATCACTTTATGCTGATCTAATTTGGAGGAGTCACAAGGATGCCAAACGAGCTGAGGATTATTTTGGTCAAGCGGTTAAGACTTCCCCGGATGATTGGTGAGTCAGAATCTGATCTCACTTTGTTCAAACTTGAAACTTGAAAATTTTCTCTGCTACATATTCCTATTATATTATAAATAAATATTGGTCCCTTGGAATATTAGAAGTGGGTTCTTTTCTAATGTAGCTAAACAACTTTAATATTGGTCATTGATTTGGTATGCATTCTTCGCTAGTAATTTTCTGATTGATTACTCATTTGTCTTTGCAGTTATGTTCTGGCATCTTATGCTCGGTTTCTTTGGGATGTTGAAGAAGAAGAAGAAGAGGAAGAAGAAAATGATCAACGAAAACAACATGAGATTGACCATAGCCATTCATCTCCACCCACTTTCTTTCACGGAACACCATTAACAGCATGATTTTAATCACCCTTCTCTTGAGAACTTAAATATTTAAAACTATTACTTGTATAATAGCTACTAATATAATGGTATAACCGTAAGGCTTCCTGACTGTAAACCTCTTTATTAACTCTATCTAATATAAGAGAGGAAAAAAATAAAATAAAATCTTTTGGCAGTTGGATTCATTGACTAAGAGGATATGTGAGAATGCCATACAAGGCATAAATGGCAATATATCTAAAACAGAATAAAAATTGGCAATTCTTGTGATAAATGCCCAAACCGTGTTTATTTCTGAATCAAAATTGCTCTATACCATAAGATTTCGTGATGTGACAGCAAAAAATATAATAAAGAAGGTGAAAGAGATTGAAGAAGAATTAAATAAAATATCCGGCAAGAATTATGGGCGGGTGGATTTGTTCTTGCAAAGAGATAAAAGTTTCGCTATTGGGGTCTGCAGATATTCTTTCTCTGTGGTTAGTATTGCTTTGTGAATTAGTATGCGTTATGGGTCACCTTGCCATACATGATACATCCCTTTCTGTTATTGTCATGAAGTCAGTGATATCCTGATATAGCAATTTACTCATTTATCATTTCTTCCTTGTCTCCACTCTATTATCAGGCGTGGAACTGCTGAAGAAGAATGTAACCATTCACACCATAACTTTAAAATCATTATCACCATCAAATATAATGGTGGTTTTCGCTTTGGAATGCTTAAAAAATGTGGATACTTCTAGGCTTTAGATTCCAAACTTTGATTTGAAAAATCTAATGACCAACTGGTCCATAAGTTCGAGATTTTTCTCTAGGCCAATTATATATATATATATATATATATATATATGTTT